CACTATCAGTCAACTCTCTTAAGTTCATATAATGAAATGTTTTATGTATACTATTTAAGCGATGAAACACTTAATAAGATACAATAAATTGAAGCTCAATCGCCTCCTACATAAACCTAGGGATTGGACAAAGACATAGTCTAGGTCATATATATTGTAAAATGCTATCGCTGCTAAGATCAACCACATGTGAGCGTCTGTATGCTTTCAAAGATTCACGTGTACGTATCTATAGTCTGGTTAAATGCAACAAAATATCGTGTATAATTGTCCTTTGATGTGAATTTGATGAAGTTGCCATTTTGGTGTGAATTAATCATGTGGGCCAGCCAAGATTCACTACTGATATATAACACAAATTTAAAAATCCCTAACTAATTAAGACGCAACAAAATTTGGTGAAAGTTGGCTGACGAGAGAGTATATGTGCATCACCATCACCCACAAAAGGGAACCAACTAAACCAACCCCCCCAAAGCACCACCCCACATATAATTTCCACACCCACACACACACACTATCTTCACGGTAAAGTTGTTTTATTCTCTCACCAATAAATTTCCAAAATTAGCGCAAAAGGTCGTATTCTGGAATAAATTAGTAATAAGCTATGATTTATATATACCTATTACCACCCAAACAAGTGAACAACCTCAAAAACAGAAAGAACTAATCTCTCTCTCTCTCATGATCAACAACTCCTAAAATGTTACCCTTCTTTCTCAGCCCCGTCTCCTTATACGCCATCTACGTCCGCCGTTGCTTTGCCGGCTCCGGCCTCTCCCAGCAAACCCTACAACTCAACAATGATCAAACCACACTCCACTTCTGGGGTCCCAACCCTAAACTTTCTAACCAAACCCAAAACCCCAAAAAACCTTCACTTGTTCTAATCCACGGCTTTGGCCCCGCCGCCATGTGGCAGTGGCGGAACCAAGTCCAGTTCTTCTCCCCCCACTTCAACATCTACGTCCCCAACCTTGTCTTCTTCGGGAATTCCACCACCGCATCCCCAGAGCGAACCGAGGTCTTTCAGGCATCCTCGGTCGCCAAGATGATGGAGAAGGTCGGGGTGGAGAGGTTTAGTGTGATGGGGACGAGCTACGGCGGCTTTGTGGCGTACCACTTGGCGAGGATGTGGCCGGAGAGAGTGGAGAAGGTGGTGATTGCCAGCTCTGGGGTTAACATGAGGAGAGGAGATCACGAGGCGCTTTTGAAGAGGGCAAAGTTGGAAAAGATTGAAGATCTCATGTTGCCTTCCACGGCGGCTCAGCTCAACAAGTTACTCAACCTCGCCATGGCCCGGAGGCTCGACATCATCCCCGACTTTTTCTTAAGCGACATAATACAGGTAATTAGAAATGAATAATGTTATTTAGACACACAAAACAGACATGATACACAATGCTCTAATCAATACGGGCACGTTTACATTAATTTTGTGTGACTTAATAGCATTTTTGTACAAAAACACTTAATAATACATTCTCTAATACATATGGATCCACATCAATATTACGTGTCTAAATAGTATTACTAGTTTAATTATGCATTTAATTAAAATTTATATACAGTAATTAGTCACCGTTACACCTCTTTTTCTTGGTATTATAGTTGTCTGAGTATGGACAAATAAATTTTGTTGGATGTGTCATGTGGACTATACGTATAGATACGTGTTTTTCTTCAATCTTGGTAAGTTAGGTGGGATTTGAATAGATGGGACCTATGACAAATGCTTAATTAGTAGTTAATGACAATTTTAGTCTTGCTTTTAGCTAGGGGTATTAATTAAGTAATCAATTATTGTATGCGTAACTGCATATCACATCCAACAAACTTTTGTTACAAATATATTCAATTAAGAGAGAAAATGTTAGTGTGAGTGCTGTGTGCGATGAAGTTCTGATCGTTGATGTATATGAGTTTCATGGTAAGATATTTGCATGCATTTATGATTAAACAACATTCATGCATAAATAATATAGCGAGAATGATATGTCTTTACTATTATAAATTACTCACGTTTTCAGTAAAAACATGTAATAAACTTGAATAGTGTTGAATGTAGAAATTGTACTCAGATAAGAGAAAAGAAAAGATGGAGCTTCTAAAGGGACTCACTCTTGGACGAGAAGACACACCAAACATATCTCCCCTTCCCAACAAGGTCATATTACATATCGATTAATGAGTGCGTAATTTGATATTCATTAATTTAAGCGGTTTGGAAAATCAATTTTACTTAATTAATATTGCAATTTGGTTTCTAGGAGGTGTTGATAGTATGGGGAGAGAAAGACCAGATCTTTCCTTTGGAGATGGCTACTGAACTCAAGGAGTATGTGTCACCAAGTTCAACATTTTTATCATTAAAATTTTAATGTATCTATAAATAATTAACCAGTTTAATTGGTAGCTCTGGTGAGTAATTAACATTAGGGTTCCTGATTAATTATCTAACTTTTTTTCTGAACAATGCAGGCTTCTTGGACCGAAAACGAAATTGGAAGTGATAAAGAACACATCGCATGTACCCCAAGTTGAAAATCCCGCTCAATTTAACAACATTGTAAAAAGTTACTTGTGCGACTCTTGAATTTCTTTTTTTTTTTTTTTTTTTGACCTGGAGGATTTGAAACTGTTATATTATTTAACTGGAGAAGTACAATACTCCATATCACTTGAAATACAAATATAAACATGTTTGCCTTAACACACATTCATAGTTTAATTAAAAACTGTAAAGATTTTTCAGCTTTTTTTATTTTTATTTTTATTTTTGAAAATTAAAAACTTGTTTGGTGATTATTTCAATTTTTACCAAACAAGTTTTTAGTTTTCAATTTACAAAAGGAAAACAAAAAACTAAAAAGGAAATTATTATTAAATGACCTTAGACGTCAAGTACAGTAAAACTTCTATAAAGTTATAAAATTAAGACTAGACCAATTTTATAACTTACTTAACAAAGGTGTAGTTGAAAAATGATTATTTTTTGTTTATTAATTCCTAATAAATGTTATATTTTCTATATATGATTTTTTGAACGCAAAATATTTTATTTCTTGCACATATATACTATCTTTACTCGAACTCCTAGCTCCTTGATACCCAAGGGCTACTGTACCCAGTAAGAGCGGTCGAGCAAACGGCAACTCCTCAGCTAGTTAGGCCCAATGGACTTGTGGGCTTGTACCCAACCCCACTATGGGTCAATACTCTTTGTCACTCAGTGAGCCCAATTTCATTTTTGATGCATGTTCAGCAAGATGTACCAGACTAATTATATTTCAACGGAGTTCGATACGTAATTATTTTAAATTTCCGTCGTACAAAAATGAGTTCTTATTATCGATTAACTATTAACCTAGTAGTATTTCTCTTCTCGATATTTGATGGATTCCGAATTTCACTTGCCCTGTGGACAAAAATAATAAACAAAGATGTTGAACGCAATAAGTTGTATCACCTGTATTCCATGCATGCATGATGGATGTTGGATAGGCTGGCATATAATATGCTAAAAAAGCAAATAATTGTAACAAATCTTTTTAGGGACGACAAGGATGGGAGTAGCAAGTAGCAATCGCAGTAAGCAGTGAAGCATTCCCATATGAATCCATGACCCACCATTTGGTGGCAGCCGGCAAGTCTTGTCCCTAACTCCAAACCAAACTCCTAAAATATACACAATTTATTTAGGGAGTTTTAACGAAAAATCTATGGTATTGTTCACTTTAATGAAAAATCATATTTTTACACTACAAAGTCAATCTTGGTACTATTTACTTTACCTTTATTTTGTCTTTATCATTAAAACTCAACGTTTTCAAGCATTTTTTCATTAGTTTTTCTTTTTATTTATTTATTTATTGGCTAAATTGTATCAAGGATCCTTAAACTATACTATCCCTTTTAATTTTGATCCCTGAAGTTTGCTAATAGTTGCTCTTTTTCTTGAGTTATGCCCTGTGTTGTACTCTTGGTCATTTTCCATAACCCTTATCAACTGTTTTCCTGAAGTTTGCTAATAGTTGCTCTTTTTCTTGAGTTATGCCCCGTGTTGTACTTGTGGTCATTTTCCATAACCCTTATCAACTTTTTTTTTTTTGTTAATTTAAGGGGTGAAGTGGGTATTTTAATTAATGAACAAAAAATCAATTAAAATTAAGATTGTTTGGTCAATTCTTAAAGAGTTTCGATTATAAGCACAAAGTTCTATGAATATGTCACGAATTATTTTAATATGAAGTTCTTATTTTACAACTTTTAAGTTGACGGAGTTCAAGAAAATGATTACTAGTGCAATAAATGACATAATTAAAGACGGGAGAAACTATTAGTAGAGTTCGGAGACGAAAACTAAGATTGTGGTATAATCAGGGACATTTACTTACAATTTAGCCTTATTTTTTATTTGTTTAATGGCGTTATGTTTCAAAAGAAAAAAAATATTTTATTTCATGAATCAGACGATGCTAAGCTAAATAATAAGTTAATCATAAGTCATAACTAAATATCGTTTTCAACCCAAATTACGCATTTATTATCTGAAACTTAAAAGAATAATACGGAACTGTATTATTGGTAAGTAGACGTTTGATTAATCTAATACAAATTAGTAGCTCAGTCAACAGACCGTCTATTCCCCCAAGAATATAATATAGTTTTTCTAAAAATTCCCCAAAAATTAGAATATCCTTTTTCTAATGAAAAATTAAATCCTATAAATAATAAAACCCAAAATTTAATTTTTAATTGGGGCCAGCCTTTTCAAACTTTGACTGAGAAGCGCGTGAGGAGAGAGGAGAGAGGAGAGAAGAGAGAAGAGAGAAGAAAGAAGCATCAACCGAGAAGAAAAACAGAGCTCTGCAGCTTTCGGCGCTCTTTCTTTTTTCTTTCTATTTTGTTTTCAGATTTGGCCAACACTTCCATAACCCATTTCGCTTCCTCGTAACACTGTTCGTACAATTATATACAAATCCCACAGCATTCATTCCTTTCAAATGTTAGCCAATTTTCTGCGCTGTTTTTATTATAATTTTAATTTAAATACACACCCAGGGACACCATTTATTGTCCACGTTTAACACAAAAGTACTTATACAAAAAGCGATTGCTATTCAGCTCAATCTGTTGCTGCTGCTTCATTGCAAAACTCCACAGCCCAGTAACGAAAGGTCGTTTCTTTTTCTTCGGGTAAGCTTACTTAAAGCTTCGTACTTTATGTGTTGTATTGTTCTTCTGCTGCCTTTTGCTTTGTGGGATTTTTTTGTTTTTGGAAAACAGATCTCTGCTCTTGATCTTGCCGGACTGGATTGAGATGTTAGTTTGATTGAAAATAATTTTGCGTTGTTTTTGGATTTAGTTTTCTTTGATGGGTTGCTTTCGAAATCTTTGATTTTTGTGAAATGTGAATATTTTAGTTGGTGGGTGATTTGTTTGGTGTCCAGCTAAACTCTTAGGAAAACGGTAAAATATTTGTCAATTGAAAGGCAGATCAAATGCAAATCTGCAGTTAATATTTGCAAACTAATTATCTAGTTTGCCTAACTTGGCTGATGGGTTGTTCTTAATTTCGTATTGACGGTGGCATTGTATCTTAATTGCCATGTTTTGTTTTGAGGTTTCTGCCAGTCTTATATAGCTCCCACCACCAGCCGCACCCCCCCGATATGAACTTTTCAGAAGGGATTTGAAGTTACGTTCAACACGTCGTGCAGAAGACTCGTGCACCGTCTATGCTGTCTATTTTGATCGAAAATATGGGATTACTCTGCAGCAGAAACAAGCATTACAACGAAGAGGACAACGAAGAGAATGCTCAGGTGGATTATGCATGATTGAATACAATCTTTGTAATGCTATTAACCAAGAGTTGCTGGAGCAACTTTGCGTTTACGATTAGGCTCTAATTTATTGTCAATGCATGTATTTACAGACTGCAGAAATTGAAAGGCGAATTGAACAAGAAACAAAGGCCGAAAAGCACATTCAGAAACTTCTCCTACTTGGTACATATAATTTAATGATTTATTGTTACCTTTTTATGATATCCATGCTCAACAATTACGCACTCGCACTTACTAGTTTGAGCTTTGTACGGTTGCAATCTTTCATTTTTATGACCGAGAGTAGCATATGGATGTGTTGTACTGTTTGTGAGGCGATGATTTCCAATTTCAGGGAAGTAACAATTATAACTTTGATATGTATTCTGTCTGATGTTAAAAGAGTTTGCACCTGGTGCATCTATACCTTGGTCAATTCAAGAATTTCAGCTTTAATTTTCTCATTAACCATGGTTATCACTTCTACAACTAATGTGGTCAACCTATTTTTTTAAGGTGCTGGGGAGTCAGGGAAGTCCACAATTTTTAAGCAGGTAAGATATTGTATACGCTTCTCTATTTAAGTACAATGTAAATATTTATACTTCTGTTACACATGGTCTATTTGCAGATAAAGCTTTTGTTTCAAACTGGATTTGATGAGTCAGAGCTCAAGAGCTACATTTCAGTCATCCACGCCAACGTATATCAGACCATAAAAGTACGCAATACTTGAAAGGGTGTGTTGGTTATTTCCCTTTCTGCATTATACAAGGAGTATTAGAGTCCACTCTTCATAGAAGAAATTATATCTTATGGACTTGTATTCAGAGAAAAAGAATCTGAATGTAATGCTTCTATATAACGTATGCATGATATGGTTGAATAGGTACTGTATGATGGGTCAAAGGAGCTTGCGCAGAATGACAGAGAAACGTTTGAAATATCCAGTGAAAATAAGGTTGGAGCTCATCTTTTGATTGTCTATTACATCGTCTTCTCTTGTCTTGTTTTTTAATTTAGCAAACAATACTTGATGGAATTTGGTTTAACTGTTTATGACATTTGATTTATACATGAAATTAATGCATGAGGTTCGGTTATTTAAAATTTTGGCTTGTTCAGTCCTTTGCGTGACTGTTTTCTTAAAATTTGGATTTGTTATTAGGAAATTGGAGAGAAACTATCAACAATTGGCAGCAGATTGGATTATCCACGTCTCACTAAAGAGCTTGCACAGGATATAGAGACTCTTTGGAAAGATGCAGCAATTCAGGTAGCTGTTACTTCATGCAACGGATTGACATATACCACTTGTTTGACATCGATCCTAGTGTTTGAAATCCAGAAGATATTTTTTTACTTCTGCTTCGACCTTTTGTCCAATGCTCTAAGTGAAGAACCCCTACTCTACAATTGTAGGAAACATGTGCTCGTGGTAATGAACTCCAAGTTCCTGACTGTGCCCACTATTTCATGGAAAATCTTCAAAGATTAGCTGACCCAGATTACGTTCCAACCAAGGTACCTAAAGTTCACAATTGTAACTCATTGTTTTAATTTAATAAAGCACCAGAATATTTTATATGTATTTGATTTGTAGCTTGAGGATGCCAAGAACTTCTTGCATTAATGTGGAAATGTTACAAATGTATAGCTCTAAAGTAGCATTTTTTGTTTTTCAGGAGGATGTTCTTCATGCGAGAGTTCGTACAACTGGTGTCGTAGAGATCCAGTTCAGGTAATTATTCTGTTTTTTAACTTTTTAAAGACTTGTCACGGCTTCTTGTTGGAACTATGACATTTTATTTATAGCTGTACTGGTGCCAATGATCGGTTCTAAATCAGCTGATTCTTGAACTTGTAGAAATTCAACCTAGGGGCGCCCTTACAATTTAATCGAGTTCACGATTTTCTAATGACGTGTGCGCATTTTAGAATGATGCATTTATTTTCAATAAAATTTCTATGTTGTGCAACTCATTTATAGAGTGGTTGAAAATTTCGAACAAACAACTCATTAATGACTATGATTGCAGTCCTGTTGGAGAAAATAAGAGAAGTGGGGAAGTATATAGACTCTTTGACGTTGGGGGCCAGAGAAATGAGAGAAGGAAATGGATCCATCTATTTGAAGGCGTTACAGCCGTAATATTTTGTGCTGCTCTTAGCGAGTAAGATCATCATTACTTTCAGTTACCCCTCATCATTTGCACGCAGTGTGGTAGCGATGATTTTCTTCAAAGAGACCTCTGCCGAGCTGAAGTATTCTCGATTGTCAATTGTGTTTCAGGTATGATCAAACACTCTTTGAGGATGAAAGCAAGAATCGAATGATGGAGACAAAGGAACTTTTTGAGTGGGTTTTGAAGCAACCGTGTTTTGAGGTTTTATTTTCTTCTATTTTCTTGTGCCCGTATGTCACATGTGCGGCTGTGCAGATTTCTTCTAACTCAGTTGGCTCTTTAACATTTTATCTTCTCTTCTTTTATATTTTGGTGCAGAAAACGTCGTTCATGCTGTTTTTAAACAAGTTTGATATATTCGAGAACAAAGTTCTAAATGTAAGAATTAGTAAATCAGTGTACAGTTATTCATCATTGACAACAAACTAACATCCGGTAAGGGCTGTTGAATTTTACTTGTGTAGGCGCCGCTTAACGCCTGCGAGTGGTTCAAAGATTACCAGCCGGTTTCAACAGGAAAGCAAGAGATTGAACATGCATATGAGTAAGCATATACATCTTTATTGTGGTCCTTTGCTTTGGACGGAAGGAAAAATACTAAAACGTATAGTACACGTAGTTAGCTTTAACAACCCTCCGAAAACTCTGGCAAACTGTCCATTATAAACGAGAAACCTAAACATCGTAAATGTTTGCATTCAGGTATGTGAAGAAGAAATTTGAGGAATTGTACTTCCAGAGCACGGCCCCTGATCGCGTAGACCGGGTGTTTAAGATCTACAAAACCACTGCCCTTGATCAGAAGCTCGTGAAGAAGACTTTCAAGCTCGTGGACGAGACGTTGAGACGTAGAAATCTCTTCGAGGCCGGTTTATTGTGACCGGGGAGGGGACACACCAGATTTCATGGCCAAACCACAAGATTGTATTTTGAAGGACATCACATCATGAGCACACGCATCAGATTCCTTGATTTTAGCTTTTACATGTCAATTAAAATCCTGTTCCACTTAACGAGTGTCAAAAACAGATGTTATAACGTATAAAAATAATTGTTGCAAGTGATTTATAGCTGAGTTGGTTAAGAGAATGCTGGAGGTCCCGATTTGCTTCTTCCCTCCCTCGTAACGCTTGTATCGAAAAAAGAAAACACGTCTTTAGCCCTCCCATGTAGTTTTGAAGATCAATATCATTGATTCTCATTTTTTTACTAACAGGAGATTAGCAGATGCCACTGCCTAATTAGTTGGTTAATGACCTAATTAGGAGGTCCATTTCATTTCATTTACTAATAAAGTAAAACAAAACAAAATTGGTTGTGTCATATCATATGTTGTACTTATCAAATATCATATGATTCTTCGAGACTAGTAGTTGTAGGCCGCTTGTAGCACACTGCTGGCAGATTCCGACCAAATACTTCCAACTCGTATTTTGGTCAAAGACTCAACAGAAAAAGACCCCACCAAGAAAGCATGGCAAGTATTTTTCTTACCAAAACTGCATTTTGTGCTTAAATACAACAAAAACAAAATTTATGTTACGAAAACATCACTGCGCTCAATTTATCACTAGAGACTATATAGAATTAATAGTTTGCTATCTGAGAAACAAAACAATGTCGACGAAACATTAGCTTCAAATGCATGATGAGAATTTGAAACAACACATGCCCTTGTATTTATGAAAATTCAAACATGAACAACTTGAGTTTACTACTCGTTGCATGCTCATGTATTAGGGTTTTATTACTTTGCCATCCATGCACATTAATTGTTTTTCGAAAAAGGAACAAAGTTTTGAAAATATTTTCTGTGACACACATGAGAAATTTTTCGTGCCTGGAATATGGACGGAACACCACATATCATTATATAATTAAATTTCTTATTAAGTGTTACTCTAATTGTATAACAATAATACTGTTTCACTTGTATTTCGATCACACTAAAAAAATTCTCAACATCCACAAGTCCAATCCAAAACTGTAGTCAAAGAATATTTTATTTTTCATAATTCCCCAAGTTCTCTGTATTTGTTCCAATTTATTGGAAAAGAATCCTTGTCGAATCCTCTTTGTGGGGATCCGGAGATCAATCAATCACATCTGTTTATCGTATATCGTGTGGTTAGAAAATATTTAAAATTTAAAGTTGAATATAAATAGTATCTAACGAAAATTAACTGCACGATATACAATGACTTGATTGATTGATATCCTGAATCCTCACAAAAAGAATCCATCGATGGTCATTTTCCCTATTTATTGGGAGGTAGTTATTTAATTGTTGAGAGGAAAAGGGGTACGTCAGCCGACCCTGCCTGCCGACTGGGATTTGAACACGCGTGTGCGAGAAGAATACAGAAGATCGAAGACAACTTTGGCACCAACTCCCCAAGGACATAAGCGTCATTTCGCTAGCCGAAAATTTACTTGCCGTCCAACAGAAAAATGCTCCAATTTGTCCTGGAAAATAGTTTTACTGAATTTTTTTTTTTTAACTTAGTATTATGGTGTAGTAGTATTCAATTTTTTGTCAGGCAATTTTTTTAAAATTTTTTTTGACTTAGTACTATGGTTTTAGTTTGATTCTTGTGCAATGACGAATTTGAACCACATTATTGCTAGCCTATTGTCAGACCAAGCTTATCAAGTCCCTCCCTTAATATAGATAATATAGTTTATTTAAAAAAAAATAAAAATCAAACAACGTAATTAAAAATGGTATATGGAAAGTGAAAATGAGTGAAGAAATCTCTTCTTTATTTTATTTTGAAACTTGAATTTTTATTTGTTCACTAAAAAACGATGAAAGGAGTACAAATTTTATCCAAATATAAAAGAGATGTCACATAATATTACGATCTAGTGATATTCATCTTTACTTATAAGTGAGAGGTCTAAAGGCCAAGTTGTACCAAATTATTGATAGCCCATTATGATGTTGAACCTACCCCCTCCACCTTAGTATAAATAATATCGATTGTTCAAAAAAAAAAAAAAAAAAAAAAGATTTTTACACAAGATTCTTGGATAGAGACTTATGTATCACGTTATTAGTTTATCTATTTGAGGACACCAAATATGGCGAAGACTCTACATTCGGTTTTACACGAGCCTATTTAGGCAAATACAAAGACAAACTTAGATCATATAACAACTAGCTAATTAGATGTTTAGGCACTCTCATAAGAGAGTGGTTCCTGCCGTGTATGCCTACAATCAAGTCCCATATGTAGTATAAAACTCCCAATGCACACAACAAAGCTGCACTATTGGTGTTTTTTTTTTCATTAAATGGTCGAGAACGGCATGACATGTATCTCCTTACCTAAGAATTTCTTATTTTCTACTCTCATTCATAAATGTACAAACGATTACACCATACGTAACAACATGTGATTTGTCTGGAATGCCTGAAATGCCCGAAGGACCTAAACTCCTAGAATATAAAGTTGAGAATCCAATTTTGATTTGGCTGAAACTGTTTTCTCTTTTTCTGTTTTCCCGTTTTTGACCCGGGAAAACTTTTCATCGACCGTGACTTGTTCCCATTTCGCACCCAAAGCATATTCCTTTCTCTCCCCACTTTCTTTCGGAATTTAAAAATACACACACTATACACAAAAATCACGCAGAAAAACCCCAACTTTTTGAATGCAGAAGAAGCACCGAAGATCAAACGGAACCCAATTGATATTTCGCCCCGGAAGCTCGATTGTTGCAATCCCAGGTTCTTAATCTTGTGATTTTCCTTTTCTTTTTTCTGGGTGCTTTTTATTTTCTGTCTGGCTCTTGAGAAAAATGAGGAAAAGCAAACGCAGAAAGCATGAAGGCCAAAAGCGAATGCCAGAGAAAAGTGTTTTTCCCAAACCCATTTGCATGCATTTCCTCGCTTTCCCATTTCCCTTTTCCAATTTTCTGTGATTCTTTCCAAGAACAACTAATATGAAATTGCTGTCATTAATATGTCATAATTTATCAAATTGTTTTGATTGAATGTTGACACTAATGGTTAGGAATTTGGGACTTAAATTATGAATTGTACCCGTTAATATCGAATTATGTGCTTTATATCAATGGAATTGATTGAAAATGTTTATATAAATTGACAATGTTTATGAACGTTTATTGTTAATATTGTTACGTATGAATGCTTTCTTTTTCAATGGAATTGCTGTTACATTTATTGTTAATATTGTTACGTATGAATGTTTTCTTTTTCATATTCTGAACTGCCGTTTGAATTTCTGCAGGTGTATAACATGTCGTATCCGTCTTGATTTATATCTTAAACCCAACTTTTGTGTTGAGGAAGTTTTAAGTGCCAATTAGGTTAGGATTTTAGGACATAACAAAGCATGAGGATTAAGCGGTTTGGGTTCATGGATTTCGATGAAGGGTCTCCATACAATTCACATTTTAGTTCATTTGCGGATAATTCATTGCAACGGTGTAGATACTTTCATGTTCCCGGAAGCTTAGCTCTTGAAGGAGCATTTAACCACATCTCAAAACTTGCTGGTTCTTTACTATTCTTCTTCTCTAGTGGACCCAATACAAATGCTACTAGAGATATAGAGGGTAATTTGCATGATTCTGAACCTGGAAGCTCCACGTCTTATCCACAAGTTAAACATTTTACTTCTGGTCGACATAATCTTAGAGGATTTCACTTTGGATTTGCATCAAGAGGAGAATCTGCTAATGCAGTGATTTTTGGAAAGATTTCGGCTTTTGTAATGCAATTCCTACACAGAGAAGCTGAAAGCTACATTCACATCCCTTGCTCTCGTTAGCTGCTGGACTTGTACCTCCTTTTGGCAGCTTGTAAGTCTTTAAACCCTTCACGAGGGAGTGGATTAAAGTGTAAAATTTCCCGCTCGGTTCTGTTTTGGTGTTGATTACATACCTTTTCTTTGTTATTACCACCAGATCTTCAAATGTACTAGCTGTTCCATTGGATACTACGGATGTCTTGGATCAAAGGCCTTGTGAGGTTGGGCATCACAGATGTGCAGGATTACCAATTCCCGACTTGAACTGGAGAAGACATGCAGTGGAACCTATTACTGGCACTGAGTTTCCTATGATTTTGGACGACGTTTTAACAGGGGAGAGTAATTCCAGTTTAAGTTCAGAGGTTGGTGTTTGTACGTTTGTTCTTTAGTGCAAGGCAGCCATGTTTATGTTCAGATCTTCTCAGTTACATATGATTTAATAGTGACATTGTGTACTGTTGCAGGTCCTTGTGGGAACTGGATCCAAAACAATGACAATAATCAAAATAAAATCTCTGAAGGTCTATGCATTTGGGTTCTGTAAGTTATTAGTATTTATATATTACTTCCGATCTGCATTACTCTTTGCATCCAGTACCTTACTCTCTTATTTATTTGTCAATTCTTCCTATGTAGATATCCATCCTCACTCTGTTTGCAAGAAATTGGGGCCAAAATATGCTTCCATTTCAGTAGATGAACTAAACAAGTGCCATGATTTCTATGAAGATCTTCTCAGGTATTGACAAATATCATGATCCATGCTACACGGTGTAGTTTTCACTATTTTTCATTTACATTTTTTTCTGGTAAATGAAGATCGATCTAATCCGTAGATGCTAAATACTTTATGTTTCTTTTTGCAACTTCTTTCCAAGCTGAGTTAGCATATGAGTCATCATATTGTTACTGTTAAATTAATTTTTATGGCTCTGCTGCTAAGTTTCATGGATTTGGTTAACTTGCTGCTACTTATTGCATTTTCCATTTTGCCTGCAGGGCGGATATTGATATGACAGTTAGGCTTGTGGTTAATTGCAATGGGATGAAAATCAATACTGTGAGAGAGTAAGTTATATCTTTGTTTCAGCATACCCTTCGATATTTAATTGGGTTTTGTATGTCCCTATTTTAATTGAGATAAGAGACATTCTTGAGGCTTTTGCATTATGATTACTGTTCTCAAACATTCATAATTCCTGTTTCGGATATCATCACTATTAGGATACCATCTCGGTTAGCTCCATATTTCATAGTGGCTTGATAGGTTCACATTCAAATGGGTGGTGTGAATGTGAGTTGAGTGAACTTGACGCTTAACCAGCTGTTGTTGTGAGGCATTACATGTATAAGCTAGAAGTTTTACAAGTTACGCACTCATTCACTATCTAAGGCCCAAAAACTGATTCTGCAAGTTAATTTGACACGTTACGTGAGTTTAGCTTCTGCTTAGCCTTGTTCCTTCCTCGCTAGGTGTCCTAGTGTATATATGTTACAACAATGTTGAAAATTGGAATTAAGTGTTGATCATTCTCATTTATGTGCTTTTGATTACACTGGATGCAGTGCCTTTGAGAAATCCCTTCGAGCTCGATTGGTGAAGGTAAATCATCTCCCTTTCTAGAATCTCCCTTTTTTGTGTTTCTGATCTGGTATTTGCTAATTCTTGTCCTTTGGTTCCTTTAGGCGAACCCAGAGACTGACTATCATTGCATAAGAACATTTGGTTCAAACTTCACACAAGATATTCCTTTGCCAGTGGTAATACTATATTACATTATTACTCTTGCATTCCTTTTTTATACCAATTGTTCACTGAATTACATTAACATTCTCGATATTTCAGGGAACGACAATTGATTTCCAACGCACAGCTGATGGAAACTTAATTACTAAAAGTGAGTGGTGGTTGCTTAACCAAATGTCAAATTGAGCACAAAGTATACACACTTGACAAGACCCGAGAACTGTCCCATGTGTCCTTCCACATTCCTAGAACTGTTCCACCCGTCCTCTCACATCTCTTGTTTACATGCTTTTAATGCTTTAATTTTCCAGTTAAAATTTGTTGATTGATTAGCATTTTGTATGAAATTTTCCAGTTGAAGGTAATCAGATTGGAGCAGTCCACAGCAAGGATCTGTGCAGTAAGTGAATTTTCCTTCTGAACCATCTGTTTTATTTTGATACTCTCCTTGGTACATTTTTATTTCTCATCATGTCTCAATGAATATGGTGAAGAGAATCCAGTCATATACTTTTGCGGGAATAGATTTCTAATGCCCAAAATCGTACTCTCAGGAGCCTTCTTTGACATGTACCTGGGTGATGTCCCGGTGTCAGAGCAAACAAAAGAAGAGATTGGCAGAAACGTCGCCAATATTATTCAAAGTTGCTGAAATGTGGCTCCGTTGTCTAACTTTTTAAAGGGCAAGTGGTTGCCAATCCGGTGAAACTGCTTACTGCTCAACCATATTTTTTGTTCACACGCACTGAAGCTCAGCAGTGCCAGATGCTGAAGACGTTGATTCGACTGGAAGGCCTCACAAAAGCAATCAGAGCCTGCTGCAAAAGTTTAAAGGCTTGGCTGGGGTCTCGCCGGCTTCTAGAATAGCGATTATTTTCTTACGGAATGTGCCATTTTTTGTAGCTTAGCAGATGTTAGATGCGATTATTTTCGAATTGTAGCTACTGAAAGTATCCCATGAGAATAGTTTGGTTTCTTCTTGATGATATATTCATATTTTTACTACATGCTTCTCGGTTTTCCATTTGACTTCTTATTTCCTTCATCCCTGCTCTAGTTGGTGGAAAGGGGGTCTTGTTCGGGTTTACGGTTTTATGCCGGTATCACTGGTTGATCAACATGCATAATGATACAAAAGTAATAATATAATTATACAGTAACTCAGACTCGAGTATTTTCAAGTAACTAGGTAATGAAGATTTGAACTTAAGATCACTGTACAAAACAAGTTGAGTGAACCATAAACTTTGCCGTCCATCATGTTACATGTGCCTCTCATGGGCTAAATTCTCCATAAATCATAATTTTGGTCAAATTTGAAAGGCTGCTGCCGTCACATCAAATATGGAAGCACTAAACATGTGTTTTACACCTTTTAACGAGGAGTTGAATTCATCATCCTCAACTCTTCGTGTTGAAAACTCAAAATGCAAGGAATTAGAGAGATACCACAAAGCTATTAGGCAATTGGCCTTCCCTAAAACAATTGAAGATTTGGTAAAATCATAATTTAAATTCAGTTTTCATACAATTATATTCCTTTGAAATTTTTGTAAGTTGGGTCCATCAGTTAAAACATATCTTCACTCCTATGTCAAAGTTCAAACTCCCCTAAACTTGATTCCTAGAATCCTATATAAGCTTACGATAAGGAGAAGTAAATCTCCAAAACTTAAGAAAACCTCAAGGAGAGGGAAGAAAAATAAGAAGAAAATGAGTGGAATTACACCAAAACTAGAGTCTTATACACACTTTTTTTTTTTACCTTCTACACACCTCTTGTCAATTTTTGTTTTTTTGATACTCTTCAATTCATTCGATCAGACGACTGGAAATTGAGAAGAGCGTAAGGAGCGGTGTGGATAGCACCACCATATAAAAGATGGATGCTAATTTTACTATTTTGAGCCCTCTAATGCTAGCAAATAAAAAAAACCAACCAAACCAATTAAACATCTACCATATATTCAAGTATGGTAAAACCTTAAGTAAAAAATGTTTAATTCCAGCCCCACAATTTTCCTCTTCCACCCAAAATCCCACAACAACACACAAAATTAGCTTCTCTTCCCTAAACCTCTAACCTGACTCAACTCCTCTCAACTTTCCCGCCATCACAAACCAAAACTGATTAACCAGAGCCAGTTAAACACCACCTCACAAAATTACCTATTTTTCCAAAACAAATTAACCACCAAACAGCAAAACACAACCATTCACTTTGTTCTTCTTCCCCCTCCTTATTTATTTGGTTATTAAAGTAGACAGCATTTGTGGGCTTCTTCATCCCATCCCTTTTTTTTTCAGCTTTCTCAATTGTAAAATTGGGTTTTCTCAAAAGTGTTTTGGGATCTGAGTTTTCGAAAATTTGTAAGGAAATGTTTGGTGGAAGAAGAGGCGTCGCCGCCACCGTTGTGGCATGCCTTGCTCTCCTCCAAGGACTTGTTCTTAGCGTTCATGGCACTGGTATTAATTACAAGGACGCTCTCACCAAGTCCATTATTTTCCTTGAGGCTCAAAGATCAGGGAAACTCCCTCCCAATCATAGACCTGCATGGAGAGGCGACTCCGCCCTCGACGATGGAAAAGAAGCAAATGTTCGTCTCTCTCCCCCTCTCTTTCTATGATTGAAGATTAACGTTTGTATCTAACCATCACATGTGACGTGACATGAATGCATCTCATGTCACATTAACGTGAGCGAGTCATGTACGACGGTCAAATACAATATTTTCTCGACTTTTTTTAAATTTTTGTATTTTGAACTTTTGTTTTTAACGCAGGTCGACCTTGCCGGAGGATACTATGATGCCGGAGACAACGTCAAGTACGGTCTTCCCATGGCATTCACCGTCACAACTCTGTCGTGGGCTGCCATGTTTTACAGGCAACAGCTCGAAGCTACTGGAGAATTGGAAAATGTTCTTGCCGGCATCAAATGGGGCACTGATTATTTTCTAAAAGCCACTCGAAAAAACAGATTATACGTTCAGGTATAGAAATTCATTAAGTTGTATTCATTACTTTTAAAACCATACAGTAATTAGTGGTGATGCATCATGCATGTATAATTAAATTGCTAATTATTTATCAAATTCTTAAAGGTTGGAGACCCAAATCAAGACCATCAATGTTGGACTAGACCAGAAGATATGCAGACACCAAGAACAGTGTTGAAGATTGATGATAGCACACCGGGAACTGAAATTGCAGCTGAAACTTCAGCCGCCATGGCTGCCTCTTCAATTGTGTTCAGAAAAACAGATCGTGCCTATGCTCGTAGTCTACTCAACAAGGCCAAACGTGTATGTATAATTTTTTAGGCGTAACATATGCACAAATAGAACCGGTTTACATATATCAATTTCTTGTAACATTATTGTTCTCTGTAGCTCTTTCAAATGGCTAAGGCGCATAAGGGAACTTACGATGGAGAGTGCCCTTTCTACTGCTCTTACTCTGGCTATAATGTAATTTTCTTCAACTCTCTCCCCCTGAAATCCAATTTTAGTTTAACTTGTGCACTGTATTTTCTCGTACTAATACAAAATTGAAGTGTTGGAAAATGTAGGATGAGCTGTTGTGGGCAGCAACATGGTTGTACATTGCCACAAAGAGGCATGTGTATCTCAAGTACATTCAGGAAGAAGCCATCAGCGCCACCGTGTCTGAGTTCAGCTGGGACCTTAAATACGCGGGAGCACAAGTCCTCCTGGCCAAGGTACTTATTTATAAATAAATTTATACCATCTTAATGGATCATTCACTGTCGCATGGAAAGTTCTTGTGTCCGGATGAATTGTCTGACCCTTTCCAAATTAAATCAAATGCAACGGTTCCACTACTTTTTGAATGCATGAGTTGGATAGTCTACTTGATTCGTTTGTCGGACTGTCCACCTCTCCTTTGTGAATATATAAGTTAGACAGTCAACCTGATCCGATTGTCCAACTATCCACTAGGTCTTACTGTCTAAACAAGATTTCTTCGCAACACATTACACATTGCATTATCATGATCGTAAAAGTAACAATACTGGCTAATACAACTAACTTGAATTTATTTTGTGTATTATTGCAGCTGTTCTTTGAAGGTGAAAAATCTCTAGTGAACTACAAAAACGGTGCTGACAGTTACATTTGCTCAAACATCCCCGACAGTCCTTACAACCAAGTCACAATGACACCGGGCGGCATGATCCATTTGAGAGACGGAGCCAACACCCAATACGTCACCGGAACCGCCCACTTATTCGCCGTCTACAGCGATATCCTCGCCCAGCACAACCAAAAAGTCAACTGCGGAGGCAAAGAGTTCGACTCTGGCGCCCTGGTCGCTTTTGCCAAGAAGCAAATGGACTACTTGTTGGGTGAGAACCCAAAAGGAAGATCCTACATGGTCGGGTTTGGACCCAACGCGCCCCAACAGCCCCACCACAGAGGAGCTTCGGTACCGAAGGAGGAAAACGGCATCGTTAACTGCGCCATGAGCTTCGTGAACTGGTTCAAGAAGGACGTGCCAAACCCTAATGAGTTGACTGGTGCCATCGTCGGGGGGCCCGATAGGTTTGATAACTTCGAGGACAAACGTTGGGCGTCGTCGTATACCGAGCCATGCACTTACGTGAACTCGCTCGCGGTCGGACCGCTGGCGAAGCTTGCGGCCTAAGAAAAGAACCATGCACGGCCTATGATATGTGTTGCCCTAAACCCTAATCCCAATCTAGTGCTATATATTTTTACGAAAGGAAGAGATTTTGGGATTTAAATGTAAACTTTTGGAAACCCAAAACGTACCGCCTTTTGTTGAGAGAAAGCTGTAAAAAGAGGGGTGGAAAATGGTTATATAAAATAGTTATTAAACTGTTTTTTTTTTGTTCTCGTCCTTCGGAAACTCTCAACTAATGGTTGTTATATTTTCCTTTATTTTATTTATATGTGACAAAGGAAATTTAAGCTATCCAAACTGTATGGTAATTAGAGGATAGAACTTAAAAGATAAAAGAGAAAAACACATTAACTTAATCAACTGACCTAATAAGTTATTAATTTAATGTTTCTTTCAGAAAGGATAATCAAAATAGTGTAGAACAAGTTAGTGTAACAATCGAGTCTCCATAACAACAACCTCATCTCACAGCTGTGAAGCAATATGACATGCTCAATTGGGTTAAAACAGTAAAACTGGACTTGTTTTTTGTCTCTCTTTCTTCTCTTTGATCTTTAATTGATATAAGTTCTTAATTCTACATAAGATACATTGTTATTGTGTAACTATCAAAGAGACGGACTAAATGCCCACTTTTAACAATACAGATATTATCTCAAACTTAGTAATTACCACATGAGCTATTCGTCACGTGTGGTGTTTTATCATAAAAGACTTAAGTGTTAGTTGAAGTTGAGTTAAAATATTTAAACTCTTATCTCAAAAATAGATCGATATAAAATATTTCAATAAATTAATTAATTAATCTCCTTGATTCCCATGGACCTCAACAAAAAGTAACTATATATACAAATTAATTAAACCTTGCTTTTCCATCATTGTCTGCAAACATCGCCAAGATGCCACAACAAGGAACATCATCATTTCAACCGATGCCTTTCTCGACAAGAAAAGGTAAAATTTAAATCCGTTTAAATTTTTAATCATTGGATTATCTCCCTAACACGTTCTGACCAACCATCTAATTGGCTTAATTAGGTAGAAAGATGCTTGGAAGATAAATCACAAAATCAGACATCCAAGTCCGTACGAGTACGAATTAATTCATCGAAAATTAAAGATTAAGGAAATAGAATGAAATAAAGTAAAAATATTTTTCATTTTTATCAAACGATAAATTTTATCAAATTATATGTTAGATTAGAGTTTGAACTTATGTCTGTCATATAAAAGTTCAACATCTGACTATAATAAAGACCCACTTTCTAAGTAAAAATGTTTACCCTTAGGATTAATAGTAATGGAGTAATGTTATTCATACCATGTTTTTATATCACATTAGGTGATATTGATGTGGACAGCCACATCATTTGAAAAATTTGCAAAACCCAAGAAAATGAAGGAGAAAGACTCCTCGTGTACCACAATCATCATTTAATTAATTAATTTTTCTTAATTATTAGTTTATTAAATAATGAACTAAATTTAAAAATCTGATTAATTCAAATGATATAGCTGTCTACATCAAATGTCATTTAAAATGGTATGAAAATATAGTACAAAAACATGGTATGAATAACCTGAGTAATGCTATTCACAAAAATTAGTTAAAATTTATTTTCCAATAAATTAGTTAAAATTTATTTTCCACATCTTCGATCGGTGCACTCTTGTTTTCGTGGGCTCAAATCTTAGTTAAAATTTATTGGTCGAGAAGATTTGAGTCCACAAAAATTAGTTAAAATTCATTTTCCAATATATAATAGCATGAGTAGTACTATTTATATCATGTTTGTGTATCATATTTTCATGCATTTGATGTGGACAGCCACATCATTTGAATTAATTAGATTTTTTAATTTAGTTCATTATTTAATAAGCTAATAATTAAGAAAAATTAGTTAATTAAATGATGATTGTGGTATACGATGAGTCTTTCTCCTTCATTTCCTTAAGTTTTGTAAATTTTTCAAATGATGTGACTTCCACATCAGATACTGGTATGAAAATGTGATACAAAAATATGATATCAATATCATTACTGTATTACTGTAGGATTAATTAACTTTGTCAAAGTGGGTGGACAAAGCAAAATCTTATCCGAATTCGTTTTCGAAAGTGGGTTTGGAGTAGATGGTGGGCGGGTCCCACTCCGTTTTGGATAAGCCTCACCAGTCACGACTCACGAGGAGGGGAATTAGAAGGAGGAGGACCAATTGCTTTCCACGTTGCCACGTCAGTCACCGACATAAACCTCAATCAAAGTAAATAAAGTCTCTCCCTCCCGAGGGCCGACCACATACGACGTGTAAGCTTCTAGAGGCTCCGCGTGGCGCGGCAAGCAGAAACTATGGGCGGTTTAGGGCAGGTATTTATCGAATGCGCCCCGAGTCGCTGATGCCCACAGGGAAACGGACTTTCCTTTTCGATCCGGTGCACTCTTGTTTTCGTGGGCTCAAATCTTCTCAACCAATAAAAATCCTTTTTAGCTTTTATTTATTGGAAAATAAATTTTAAGTAATTTAAAAAAAAAAAAAATTCTCCAACCGCTCAGAGGCCGATTTAAACCTTTTTTTTTTTTTTTTTTTAGTGTTACTCGATTGGATTTAAGGGCTCAAACTTTTTTTTTTAAGGTTGAAGATGAACAAAATAATCAAATTCATACAAAAATTAATCGAGTTTATTACTGATGGAATTATTTTGTATTGAACTTTCTCATTTACTAATGTCATTAATTTGCACACTAAATAATGTTATGATACCAAACATATTCATATTATGTTATTATACAGAAATTTAATCAATCAAGACATTATAATAGTGATTAAAATCTCGATTCATCTTTGATTTATTAAATCGAAAATCAGAAAAACCAAAAAAAAGGATTGAGAAAGTGTAAATAATAAGGAAGTGAGATGGAAACATTGGAAGTAGAATAGGATGTGAAGCAGAGGATGACGGCTCATTGAAAAATATTGAAAGGTAGATCTTGGTTGGCAAAGGGATTGAGGATAAGGCCTAAAGTCTTTGCTGGCCATGGCTGTGCACTGCCATCATTTTTTAAACTAATTATAATATAAATTAATAATAATTAATTAGGTGCATTATCCTCTCCTAATCAAATAATCAAGCACTAATTAATCCAAGGCATATCCATCCTGTTAATCTCATCCGCCTTAAAGCTATATATACAAAATATTAATGCACAGACAACAAAGTATATGAAAAGACAAACACCATGTGTCTCCTTCTCCGGCAAATCTAACGCGCTCTCGAAGATCCGCCTTCGCTCATCGATCCTATTTCTCCGGTGAAGTCCCAAATCCCATTTATCCGTTGAAATCGCAAATCCTTTTTTTTCCCTGATTTGGGAGATTTAGATTGTGTTTGTGATATAGATTAATGTCGATCGCATTGAATAGCGCCGCCGCCAGGATCGGCATTGCGCCGTCGTCTGGGTTCGCGCTTGGTGGGTTGATCTTCGATTCACCGGAAAACGGCCGGAGAGTTGCCGCCGGTGAGGTTACGGTTTGTTCTTCGAGTTCGTCGTCGATTGGGAAGAACAGCGACGATGGATCGGAAGGCAACGACGGCGGCGAAAATGACGAGGCTCAGAGCTCGTATAAAGGTCCGTTGGATGTGATGAACGAGCTGGAGGAAGTTTTAGCCCGTGAGGTTAGCGGTTAAACCCTTTTCTCATTTTTTTTACTGCAATTTTTACTTTTGTAAATTGGGGTTCCTCGGAATGTTAGGAATCAGGATAGAAATTTTTGGTATTGGCCCAATTGGGTTTTTACCGCTTTTCCTGATATTCTAATCTATTCTAATTTATTAAAAAAAAAAAAAAAAAAACTATAAACTTTTAAGCGGCGGAAATTGCCTAACCAACTAGCTTAACTCACGTCTATGGCAATCGAGTTTTTCTAATGTGATTTGATTGATGAAATTATGAATAAATGCAGGAGAGGGATCTCGAAATACTACAACTACAAATCCAAGTCCTTTACGAGTCTAGCAGAAGCTTCATCTTCTTCCAACATTCAGGAGCTTGCAAAACCAGACAATGCCTACACCCGAAAACGCAGGAACCTTCTTGCTTCCAATCAGATGTGGGAGAAGAACCGAACCTCCTTCCCGCTGAGAAGCAACGGCGGCGGAATTTCAAAGAGACCGATTCCGTCCAGTCGAAGCGCATTGGCTTTGGCTGTCAAGTTAGGCAGCTGCTCGGAAAGCAGTACTAGTAGCGCAAGCGAGGATTCCAATTCGAGCTCAAATCCAACGTCGCCGCGGCCGCCTCTCCCACCGGGTTACGCCTGTCCATTAGGAAGTTATGCAGCTTGGAGATCGTATTCATTGGCTGATCTGCAAGAATGTACCACTGCTACTACTGTAAATAGTTCGCGTTTCTCGGCGGCCACCACTAAACCGAACGTGTAGAAACCTAACTTGAATCTTGCCGGTGTTCTTGCCCGCATCGAAGGAGTTTGCCATGATGTCGAGAGGTATGGTTTTTTTCTTGTCTAATTTTTAATTGAAAGTTTAAGGGTAGAACAATTTGAAGTATCTGATGTTATTTGTACATACGTTTAATGAGTAAAAGGACCATATATTACGAGTTCCATCTCCACCAATCTTCAACACTTGTATAATAATTAATTATCAACAACTGCGTTATATAATTTACAAAACATGGACGCCACCCCGCGTCCAAAAGAAACAAATTAATTGGAGAGAAATGTAGTATAATTACAATTAGATGACCAGTCCCTAAACCTGCAACTGACTGGAGGCAAAATAATTCATCAAGTCAGATGAACCCTAAAACCCCCAAAAGTTAATTAACAAATTCGAGCAATGTAACGAGTCATCCCTCTTAATATTTAGATGACTGCTGCTCATTTTTCGAACTTCATAAAAGACGTTTCCCCTTGAGGTTAGCACACCATCTACTTCTGGGGCTGCACAAGAAACTGTACGCAAGTATAACCAGACAAGAAAGATGGAAGTTCGATTTCAGAAGGATCGATTAGAGGAATCGCCTTATCAATATCTTCGGTGGAGAAAGGAATGCTGCAATCAGAAAGTGAATTAAATAGGGTAAGGTTTGCTATTCTGTTTTTATCATACAAGGAGCGATATCTTGGTGAGCGTGCAATTAAGACCAGATAATTGGACGAGAAGCAGATTACCTCAGATCGTCATCCAACAAGAACGAATTGGAGGTTAGATTCTGGTTGTCCTTGTTCAAATTCTCCCTCATTTGAGCAACCACCTGCAAGCAATGACGTTCAGAAAACAATTGGGACTCTAATCACAGAGTTTATGGCACAACAACAAAACTAAATACGCAAACATGCCTCGTTGGACACACTCTGTGTGCCGTATTTGTCGTCCCAGTACATAGTACTTATTCGGTAGATTTGTCTGACAGTCAATGCCTGGACATTGATCACAATGCCAATGAATTCGTTAGAGTTCAAATATACTTTTTGCGAAGCCAGTGACAGGAAAAAGAGAAAATTTAGACAAATAAACAAGCAAGAGGATCATACCGGACAAAGATCCTGCCTAATTTCATCCAGAGACTTTTTCCTCTTCTGATGTATTACCTATACCAATCGCACGCAGAAATGGTTCATAACTTCTCATAAATTATACATGTTAAAAAATCAAAGAAATAGCTTTAGCTTATACCAGAAAACCAACAGCTTGCCTGATATAATTTAGCTCCTGCCAGGAGGTCCCAGCATACTGCATTGCACAAAGAGTCAGACCAACAAACCTATAAAGTTCGTTTAAACAGAAAACACTTGCAGCATGGTAGTTATATACTTGCCTCCTCCCCGGTGTTGACAATCCATTTCTCCAGTTCAGCAAGACCTGATTTTACATATTCACCATTTGAAAATGTGCAACATTCGCGTCGAAGCAGTAGACTGCTCAGGGAAAGAAAAGGTCGGGTCAATACATAAACCATTGCAAATGTCATTTTATTAGCAATGAAAAACTGGAATAGCAATAAACTCTTGCCTGTTGAAAAGTGACATATTGATGAAAGAGAAGACCTGTGTGATTAGCTTGCGAATAAAAAATGAGGGTACCTAAGCAGAGTAGTGTTTAGGTCAGAAATGAATAAGAAAAAGTCGACAAAGGGGATCTATGGAATAAATATTAACCTTCAATTTAGCAAACAATTACATGATCTCAGATATGAAGCTTTGACATCAACTAACGGAAATTGGTGATTTAGATCGAAAGAAAGCAATGTAGATCTAAAGAAACAAATCAGAAAAATGTCCCACATACATGATTTCCACGTAACCGACTCATAAGGGTATCCAAGAATTTGATTATGTTGTCCCACTGACTTCCTGGTAATTGCTGAGGAGCGTTACCAGGTGATATAGATGACTTTCGCGCAGCTTTGGGTGCCTAAAAAATTGCCATGAATATTCGTAACATTTTAGGTCAAAATAGTATGCAGATCAACCAAACACAAATAAAACAAAACCGAATAGCCAAAAGATAGCAGTCAGACATGAAAATCAAATATTAGGCTTCAGAAGGGCAGCAAGTACCAACTGACGTATGGGTTCGTGCTTAGATAATTGCTAATGGCAGGTCAATACTTGTGATTGATTCAAAGCAAAAGAGTTAAATGATTTTCACTATCCCCAATGGTGTATCACAACTTAAAACGAAGGAAAATGCAAATTCATCCATTTCTCCGTTGTCTCATTGCTTTAAATTAACTAAACTATAGCAAGTAACCACTAAATGAATACACAAACATGAACAAAATTTCTGGACCAACTACCATTTTTCCAAATGCTAACAATAGTATAATAAAAGTCATCCTATGTCAGAGAGTGAAATTGCACCCATACTTTGACTTAGAATACTTGAGCAGATCAGACTCAATCAGATTCACCTGAATGCATGAGCCCAAGAGCGGAGCCAATTCCTTCTTCAAATTGTCGCGCATCAAGCCAAAGATCTTTTCTACACAAGCAGTTAGCTGCTGTTTGAACAATACAGCTGGATATCTTGCTTCAAGATGTGACATACCATCTTCATAGCCAATATATTTGAAAGGAGATGTCAGTCCCTGAAAATGAAAGTGGGGGGATGACATTTAATAAACTACAACTGAAATATTGAAAGTAAAGCAAACTGACATAATAAACTCATCATGAGTGTGGAACTCAGTAAAGTTCAAAGGAGATCTAAAGAGTATTTTTTGGTCGAACAATTACGTATACAAAGAATATATATTCAACAAGCCCGTCATTTGATTATATAACTTACTTGTGCAATCCTGATAGCTAAAACAGAAGACCCAGAACGTTGAGTTGCTGGGAAACTATTTGGTCGTAAATTCCTCTGCAAAAGGCATAGAAGCGCTGAGGCATTGGACAGCCAATAGGGCAATGTTATGTTCTCATCCCCAACCTGAAACAATGGCCATACAGAATTTTTTCAAATATTCTAAAACATTATGCAAGTAGTTTATTTCACATTTGATCGAGAATAGCTTTTACATAATATATGTATCTCTCCACATAATTTATTTCAGGTACAGTAACACATCAGTTCAAACCTTAAGCAGAAACAAAATCATAAGCCAGTAAAACATCAGTTCGAGCCTTAAGCAGAAACAAAATCATAAGCCCAAAGAAAATTGACTGAAGCAAGTAAATTACCTTCAGAACATCATTTATTCCCTCAATTATATGGTCAAAAATAACTGTACGCTCAGACTCAAAGGCATGCCACTGAAGAAGGCATTTGTATATGATACAAGCAGCCAATGGTTTGCTGTCTTTGAACCCTAAATCTTCTTTAACACATCTTGATAGGAATTCATAGTTCTCCTGTACATATCAAAGCGACATGCTTAAACTTATAAGCCCAACTACCTAGAATGGAAATGACAGAAACTTTATGGCACTGTGAAGATAACCGCAGTTACAGTCCATAAGAAGATTCAGTGGATACCAAAATTTAAAGCTAAGGGTCAAATAAACAATAAGGGACAAAACCTGGTGCTGGTGCCTCTCAACCGCTAACTTTGATCGGCGTGATTCTGGCAAGCCATGTGAAAAAGGTGCAATCATTTTTGTAGGTGTGGGTGACTCCTGCATTAGATGGTATGACACATGAAGAAGTGTTACTGTGACGGTTAGATGAAAAATAAATCAGAGTGAGAGGGAGATCATGTCTTACGAATATCGACTTCTGGTCAGTGATGGGAACAAGCACACCAGAGTTTTTCTGTTTACATTAAAAAAAATACCATAACTTGAGAATACAGTCCAGACCCACAAATCTATGTTATAAGATTTTATGAAGCAACAAAATTTGACACCAGTAAAATCAGAATGCATACAAAGAGGTTTTCAACCGACTTTTTAGATCAAACCCTTTAATTGTACGTCGCTTGTACGTAATCATTTACCTCTGGAACCGACTTTTCAACACCATGCCGAGTGCTCTTTGCAGGCACACTAAGGGCCTTTAGTCGCATGATAAGATTTTCCTCCTCTAATACTAAGAGTTTCTCCTCAAGGCTGTAATTTAGATACAACATAATAATTAAGTATCAATGAATTGTAGCGTAATTGATCTGAAGAAAACATATTTGGGGTGATAAACAAATCTAAAACTGATGTCCAAAACTACTTAACAACACTGAAAGAAACACTCAAAAGATAATTATGAATTTCGGAAAAACACCTCTTTACATTCTGCTGGAGCTGGTTGCACTTCTCTTCAAATTCCTGCAACTTCTGAATGGTGTCTGTATTGTCGCTTCGAGCCTTGAGAAGTTCAGTTTCTAGAGCTGAATTCTTCTTATCCAAGGCATCCAAAGAGCTCTGGAAACAACAAATAAGAAAATTTTCAAAGGACACCGCAAATGTCTTAACCATCCCCAAATGTTGGGAGGGATAGGGTAGAGAAAAAGAAAAAACACTCTCAAAAAGAAAGACATGCCAAGAAAAAGAGAGAATAGACTTCAGTAAACGTTAAATACCTGTTTAGGTCAAGAAAAGCAAGTAAGTTTAAAATGATTAAAAAATAGTGAAAAAAATGAGTTTGTAACTTTGTATTTATCAAATTTTTGAGAATTCAACTAATTATATACCATGACTCTAGATTTCCTGCCTGAGAGATATATAATTTCTGAGTACATAAGATGTAGCTTACAAAATCCCACAAAGTAAAACCGACCTAAGAACATAAATTTAATAAACATCAGAAGACTCACTTTTAAAAATGCACTTTCCCTTCTCAATTCAGCCATTCCAATGATTTCTCTTTCCAAAGATGATTTTTCTTTCACTGATAACTCCAATTGATTTTGAAGCACTGCATTCTTGTTGCACTCATTAATTGTAGCCAACTTTGATGCATCTAACTCAAGACTCAAGGATTCCAACACTTTTTGAAGTTTTGAAATTTCTATTGACTTAGCTTCCTCATTCGATATCTGCATTCAGTTCAGCTTGCAGTAAGCAAAGGAACTTCTATGCACCCATACAACAGTTTGTCAAGTTGCTCAACCAAAAGAAATAAGGTTAAGTTGAAACTAAAAATTTACACAAAAGCACCTAAGCACCT